TTAAAGGATTTAAGCAAGGAAGTAGCATGCATGCCTTGATTTAGAATTTAAAAAAATTTGCTTGAGTTTCTATGTGGGAAGTTGATGGTGTGGGAAAGGAACAAGTAGGGAGACCAGGTAGTGGATTACTGAATAGCCCAGATGAGATTGTGCACTTGGAAGCAGGTAATAGCAGGGCAGAAGAAGATACACAGATGAGCTTAATTTATATTCTGAAAGTCAAGTTGATAGAACTTAATGGATGAGATGTGGGAAATAGAGCAAGAAATCAAGGATTGGTTTCCAAATTTCTAGTCTGAACAACTGGGCAGATAAATTTCCATTTCCTGGAAAGGAAGAACTTGGGTGGAAGAATTGTTTCAACATGGATGAGGGAACCAGAATTCAATGTTAGGTATTTTATGGGCACAATGGTCACTAGACACCCATGTGGAGACACCAGGTAGCCTGTAAAACATGTGAACCTGGAGCTCAGAAGAGAGGTCCAGGCTAGAGGTGTGAATTAGGGACTTACAGTAGTATTTAGTGGCAGTATTTAGCTGGTATTTAAAGACAAAGGGAATAGGTTATGTCTCCTAAAGAGGGAAGGAAGAATGAGGAGGAAAGGGGGCTCAGAATGGAGCCCCAGAGCTTTCCAACTCTTCCTGTGTGGGAAAGCAGCCAGCAAATGGCACTTAAGTATCAGATAGAAAGAAGAAAAAAAAGCTCACAAAAGGCAGTATCCCAATAAAATAGGCTTTCAAGAAGGAGAAATGCTCACTCTTGATAACAACTTGGTTATCAAGTTGAGTGAGCCCGTATCAGAAGCCTCTCTACTGGGAAGGGCTTCTTACCAAGAATAGAAATCACTTGTATTTTTTCTTTTTCTTTTATTGCAGTCTTTAATGCAGCTCCTGGCACACAGTGGGCAGTTGATATCTGTCAATCAAATGACACATATTAATGAATGACTGAATATTATAAGCTCAGGGGAGGGATAGGCATAAGTAATTTTTAAAAGCCCTCATCTTGGTGGGGACTTGATTATGGGGGGAGTCTAGTAACCATAATGTTGCTCATGTAATTGTAGATTAGTGATACCAAAATAAAAAATTAATAAATAATAAATAAATAGACCTCATTTTCTTCCCTCTCCATACTCCCCCCCTCTTCTGATTCTCACTTTTACCAATGAAAACATTGATTAGAGAATGTAAAGAAAATGAAAGATCCTATGGCCAGGATTCTCACCTGGTCCTGGTTGGCTAGCTCACTGCACATGTGTGGGCAATTCGTCCTTATTGACTATGTAAAGAGCTCTGCCCAGTGCTCTGGGTGACATGGTGGTATGGCTGCAAGGCTGCAGGAGAGCAGAGATGAGACTGGAGTGGTGGCAGCGCCAAGGACAGAGACTGAGACAGCTGTGGGGATGGAGAGGCCCAGAGGCAGAGACTGGCTTGCTTCCTGCAGACTTGCTCTAAGTAGACAGGATTCTAGTGATTGACCTGCCACTGTGGGAATAAAGTTGGGTATAAACCCTTTCACCCCAAGAATGTTCCATTGTCATTTTTCCGTCTTACTGAATCAAGAGTGAACTTGCCCAGAGATGAAACCCATTGGCAAGACAGATAGCAGTATTTTCAGGCTTTGTCAAAGCAACATTAAATACCCTTTATTTGTACAAGTTTAGGAAAAATAAACTGTTCTCTAAACCTTGGAGGAAAGCAACTGAGAATTAGCATAGTGTGTGAGGTAATAAAGTATGGCTGTCTCTAGGAAGGTGGTGAAATAATCACCAAACCATAACCACAACTATGGAAATAAGATCCTGCCCCGTGAAGTGCTCCACTGGCCAATACTCATCTGAATTATGCTATGAAAAGGATGGTGTTAAGTGAAATTTCCTTATGTATGATTTTGGTGAAAGAAGAGAAAGAAGTAGAGGTTCATGGTGACATACCTGCTTCCCAGGCCTCACCTAGATATTCTGTGGCTGCAAACTAGAGGGACTGCTTATTTCAGAATGATGACAATATGAGCAGGTTGTAGCACTGGGCTGAAACCAGCAAATGAATCTAGTCAGGATCAAATACACATTGAATTGAAAAAGAGAGTAGGACCATTCCCTGTGGATCCTGACAGCTACTGTTCTGGAAGCCATTTCATTCCATTTTTCCAACAGATTGATCACACACCATTATTTGCCTTTTACTTTGCTGCAAATAATCAAGAGAGGGCCATTCCTCTTGTTTCGTCTGTTGATGAAAGTGTAAAAAATAATTGTGTTGGATTTGGCTAGGATATCCTATCATTCCACAAACATCTCAAACTCCACCTGTCTAAAACTTAATTCATCAGTGAGTCCCATTTGTATGTACCCCCCCCACACACACACACATGCACTTCATTCCTCCAGTGTGCATTCTCCATGAATCTGCAACGCATATCCAGAGCCCAGACTTAACAGGCATCATCCTGACTCCTTCACCCCAGCTCCACATTCGTATTTGCCAATACTATCACCAAGCTCTGTGGGGCTTTATTTCTCAGACATCGCCGGAATATATTTTCTCCTCTATTCTTCCTGCTGCTTTCTAGTTCAGGCCGCCATCACCTCCCTATAGATTATGCCAGAGTCTCCAAAATTAGGTTTTCTGTGTTGAGTCTTTTCTTCACACTTCTGAAACCCACCACTGACAAATTCTTCAATCCCTGATAGCTTCCGGTCAGCCCCAGCAGAGTTAAAAATTCCTAACTGGGTTTAGGAAGTTGGCTCATGATTTGTCCCTGCTCTCCCAGTCAGCCTCTTATCATACTAATCTGTGTGTGGGCAGCTAGATACCCCAGCCAGGACTGCTCACCCAGTTCCTTTACCTGGCCCTGGCTAGCACCATCCCTTGATCCTTCTCTCAAACTGTTTGGCCTAACTCAAACCTCTTTGTCCTCTTAACCTCTCTTTAAGTGTCCTTAAAATATTCAGAACTTCTCTAACTAGTAAAAGTTTGTCTGTCTACACTTGGCTGAGAATGTTCTTGAAGGCTTGTGCTACCTCATTTACTGCGGTATTGTGTGGGTCTAGCAAAATGCCTGTTCCATGAATATGCCGAATAAATGAACAAGTGTTTTAATCACGTGTCTGCTATTACAATTTAAGATTTGCTAGTTCAGTATGTTTTTAATGCACACATACCCTTTGATTAGGGCATTTTTTTCCCTATGCTGTCTCTCTGGTTGTTGCAGGAAAAAAGAAAACCCTGAGGCATATTTGGATTGTATTAGGATGATGAGCATCACTAGTTCAGGTGCGTTGTGCTGTGGGTCTTCAGTGCATTGTCAGAGGCTCATTACGGTGTCCGTCTCTGAACCTTAACCTGGGTCTACACTTCTGATGGCAGGTGTATCCGGTGGCAGCTGGCTAGAAGCATGGGAAGGGGGAGTATCAAGAACCAGACGCAGGAATCCGTTGAGTTAGGCAAGTCACAGTGCTTCCTTAACCCAGCCTCGCTGTTGGACTCTGCCAGAGCCTAAACCGCGGGTGCCACCGAGCCCCAGCCTCTGCTTGTCAGCCCCCTCAAGCGTGCAGCCTGGACTTAAGAGGAAGTGTGTAGGGGAGGAAGGAAGTGGGCATAGAAGGGTGCAGGGCTCTGAGTCTTGTGGTGAATAGCCATAACGTCTTTGTCACCAACATGTTCTAAGGAGCCTTCACGGAGTTCTTTTTGTTTTTCATTGGTGGTCGTCTGGTTAATTTATCCAGGAGTTGCAACAGCTCCCCCAAATCAGACAGAGCCCTTAACTGTCAACGAGGGATGCAGACCATCCCCTGCCGAAGTCCTGGGGTACTGGTTTGCAGTTGGCCTTTGGACCACGCGGCTCCGCATCCAGGCTTCAACCACTGTTAAAAGGCGAAGTCCCGCGACCCTTGCAGCTCCACTCTCGCAAATCTGCGGGAGCACCGAGCCATCCCGCCCTCCGCGGGCTGGCCGGCCTGGACCTGGACGCCTGTCCTGCGCAGCCGAGGTCCCCCAGCGCCCCCTACAGCCGCGCGCTGGGGGAGATGGCGCCGGGGCCTGCGCCTGACGCCACGCCCGGGACCCACCCAGCACCCAGCGCCCCGGGACAGCGCGAGCACCAGCACCTCCCGGCTGCAGAAACGGGGCGTGGGGCCCAGCGGGCGTGCTGCATCCCAGGCCGCCCCCATCGCTCCGCCCGCGGCGTCCCCACTTCTCCTCCCTCTCTCTGTCCCTCCCTCGCTCGCTCCCTTCCTCCCTCCAGCCCGCCAGCGCCGGACAAGCTGCGCCTCTTCTCTTGGGGCGCTCGTCCCTGCGGCCGCCCGTCGCATCCCGCGAAACTTTGGGACAGTAGCCATTTGGTGTTGAATGTTCCCCTCAGAGAGCGCATGGCTGGGGAAGCGAGGTGCGGGCCGGGTCCCCGAGGGCCCGCCGTCCGGGAGGCGGTGCTTCTGCTCCTGTGTCTGGGGGTCCCGAGCGGGCGCCCCTACAACGTGGACACCGAGAGCGCGCTGCTTTACCAGGGGCCCCCCAACACCCTGTTCGGCTACTCGGTGGTGCTGCACAGCCACGCGGCGAACCGATGGTGAGTGGAGTCAGAGCCAGGCGCTCTCTGCATCTCCCAGCGGCTGGGGAACTGCGCCTAGGGATTCCCTGCCCGGTTCAAACTTTGCTCCCTTTGGCGGAGGCAAAAGGCGAACGCTGAGACCGCCAGCTCGCTGGAGATATGCTCGGAAAACTAACTTATCTTGTGGGGAGTATCAAGAACCAGACGCAGGAATCCGTTGAGTTAGGCAAGTCACAGTGCTTCCTTAACCCAGCCTCGCTGTTGGACTCTGCCAGAGCCTAAACCGCGGGTGCCACCGAGCCCCAGCCTCTGCTTGTCAGCCCCCTCAAGCGTGCAGCCTGGACTTAAGAGGAAGTGTGTAGGGGAGGAAGGAAGTGGGCATAGAAGGGTGCAGGGCTCTGAGTCTTGTGGTGAATAGCCATAACGTCTTTGTCACCAACATGTTCTAAGGAGCCTTCACGGAGTTCTTTTTGTTTTTCATTGGTGGTCGTCTGGTTAATTTATCCAGGAGTTGCAACAGCTCCCCCAAATCAGACAGAGCCCTTAACTGTCAACGAGGGATGCAGACCGTCCCCTGCCGAAGTCCTGGGGTACTGGTTTGCAGTTGGCCTTTGGACCACGCGGCTCCGCATCCAGGCTTCAACCACTGTTAAAAGGCGAAGTCCCGCGACCCTTGCAGCTCCACTCTCGCAAATCTGCGGGAGCACCGAGCCATCCCGCCCTCCGCGGGCTGGCCGGCCTGGACCTGGACGCCTGTCCTGCGCAGCCGAGGTCCCCCAGCGCCCCCTACAGCCGCGCGCTGGGGGAGATGGCGCCGGGGCCTGCGCCTGACGCCACGCCCGGGACCCACCCAGCACCCAGCGCCCCGGGACAGCGCGAGCACCAGCACCTCCCGGCTGCAGAAACGGGGCGTGGGGCCCAGCGGGCGTGCTGCATCCCAGGCCGCCCCCATCGCTCCGCCCGCGGCGTCCCCACTTCTCCTCCCTCTCTCTGTCCCTCCCTCGCTCGCTCCCTTCCTCCCTCCAGCCCGCCAGCGCCGGACAAGCTGCGCCTCTTCTCTTGGGGCGCTCGTCCCTGCGGCCGCCCGTCGCATCCCGCGAAACTTTGGGACAGTAGCCATTTGGTGTTGAATGTTCCCCTCAGAGAGCGCATGGCTGGGGAAGCGAGGTGCGGGCCGGGTCCCCGAGGGCCCGCCGTCCGGGAGGCGGTGCTTCTGCTCCTGTGTCTGGGGGTCCCGAGCGGGCGCCCCTACAACGTGGACACCGAGAGCGCGCTGCTTTACCAGGGGCCCCCCAACACCCTGTTCGGCTACTCGGTGGTGCTGCACAGCCACGCGGCGAACCGATGGTGAGTGGAGTCAGAGCCAGGCGCTCTCTGCATCTCCCAGCGGCTGGGGAACTGCGCCTAGGGATTCCCTGCCCGGTTCAAACTTTGCTCCCTTTGGCGAAGGCAAAAGGCGAACGCTGAGACCGCCAGCTCGCTGGAGATATGCTCGGGAAACTAACTTATCTTGGGGCAGCAGGGCCCGGGGTGCGTTCTGGCGCCAGGCCCTGGGGCTGCGAGTCGGGGTGGCGGATGGGGTTCGCGGGGTGGTGGGCGGAGGAGGTGGCCGAGCGCCCGCTGCCAGCTGCAGTCTATTGAACCAGTGCGCAGCACGGCTCACGTTGCGCGCACGTGCACATTTCTCGCTTTAGGCTCATAGTGGGGGCGCCCACGGCCAACTGGCTCGCCAATGCTTCAGTGGTCAGTCCCGGAGCGATTTACAGATGCAGGATAGCAAAAAATCCAGACCGGACATGCGAACAACTCCAGCTGGGTGAGTCGGTTATGGGAACAGGAGCGAGTTACCCCGCTGCCCTTCCCCCCCCTCCCGACCCCCCACTTGTGGCCCCCACGGGTAGCACAAATCCTGGAAAAACTCGTGTTGCTTGTTACTTCTAGTTTAAAGCAAATGATTTCCATTCTTAGCTCCACACCATCTCCCCTTAGTGTAAAAGTGGTCCACTTCTTTCTGTCAATATTTTTCTTCCTTTGCTTATGGCAATGATTGCAGTGCCCTGACAAAACTACGTAGAGGAAAGTTTCTTATGATACATTCTCTTCACCTCTTCCTCTCTATCCCCGTGTATAAAACACATTTTAAAGTCTCTCCGCACATTAAAGACAGGATCCAGCTAAGCCAAGACTTAAATTTTATTTCTGTCTTTGACCTATGAGCTTTGCTAAAGACAAACTAAGGGGTAGATCAGGAATAACAGTTGGAACTGATCCCATATCCTGTCATTTAGCCTAAGGGCTTTCTAAAAAAGAAAATGATATAGTTTTACTTAGAATTTGAAATTGAAAGAAAAGAATAAAGAAAAATTGGCGTCTCTACTGTTAATATAATTAAAATCAGGCTTAACACATAATTGTTGATTTCTCCCTCCAAAAACTCTCATGTTCAGTGGATACCTCTATTTGAAGTCATTTCTTAATGCCTCTTCTTAGATTTATTATAAGGTGAAAAACGTGTTCTGATGGGGGAGGGGAGAATGTTCATGTCTCAAAGCCAAAAGCAACTTTGCTTTGAACAGACCTGGGGAAAGAAAGGGGAACTAATATTAATTTAGAGCTATCTTGTTCCAAGCAGTTGGGCACTGCTATATATGTTGTTTAATTTTTTTCCCTCAAAGTGCCACAGGGTCATGCTTGGCATTGTTCCTCTACACATGAGGACTCTGTGACTCAGAGGGTTCCAAGTATTTTTTCTAAAGTTACTCAGCTAGTGAGTGAAAAATGGGACCCAAAGTCAAGGTCAGATCTGCTTGAGTCCAAAGGCTAAGCTCTTTGCTTTCATGTATACATCTTGTATGCAAATAAAATTAAGTCCAATATATTGTCTATGGAGCTGATGAGTCATCATTAAATGGTGAATAAAAGGTTACAGTTGGTACTTTTTTCATATTTATCTTTGCCCTCAGTAACCTTTTGGGATGAGCTAGTTGCTGCATCTTTAACCCCTTTTTCTTTTTATAGTAATTGTTGCTTTTTCTCAAACTGGGAAGCTGATTCCAACATAATGGAATTTTTATTTTCAACTCAGAGAGCATCCATAAAATTCTTAGACTATTCATATAGAATAAGCCTCAGCTTCTCCTTAAGCATCTTCCATTCCCAAAGGCAGACTAGGAAAGATCAGGAAAAGCACATTCACAGATCCATCCATTTAGAATAATTTTTCAATGTGTAATTTTCATTGCATGGAAGAGTTGTGGGATGAAGAATTAGGGAGGGAGCAGGCAACCTTGATCTGCTAATAGAACGTGACAAAGTCTTAAGAGGAAAGAATTTCATTTGTGTTGTCCTGTCACAGCCTGATCCATGACATTATAACTGCTGGTATTAAGCACTTACTTCCTGTCTGGAAGGGCATTGAAACTCTTTTTAGTTGTCTGTGTTTAACTGGAAAAATCATGTCATAAAATTACATGAACTGTAAGATAATAATGCCTGTCCAAACTGAAGGAAAATGAAAATTCTTTGAGCATGTGGAGCATAGGGATTGATGACAAAAGTGTCCTCAGACAAATGTACACATGGTAGATGTGCAACAAACATGAATTAAGTGAAGATTTATTGGACAGATAAATGAATATAGGCAAGTGAAAGTTTGATTGTCATCAACCTTATTGGTGAATAAGAGAATTGATTAGAAATGACAAGCCAGAATGATATTTTTTACTTTAAAATTTGGGGCCAATATAAAAGATGTTTACTGAGATAAAAGGCAAAAAGGATGACAAAATTTCTGGTCAGTCAACTAATTGATGCACTAATAGCTGTAGTAATCTGCATAAGAGTGAAGTTACTTCTCATATAATGTTTTAAACATTCCATCTTCTCTCTCTTATATAAATACACACATTCACACAATCTTCAGATTCTACAGCTTGTAAAGATGCTTCGGTTGTCCCGTCTCAAATGTGGGTGACTAATGTATGGAAAATGCTTAACTCAGCAACCTACTTGGGACAGAATTTCAAAAAATTGATCCATTTACTTATTTTTTATCTCCATTTTTTACTTAAGTCTATATCTGTATGTTCTCTGTTGAGATCAATCAATAGGAACAATGAATAAACAAAAAGTTAAATATATAAATTAAAAGGTAGGAGTTGAAATGAAACAAAAATGTTTTCTTGTTGACACAACCAGAAAATTTTATAAGTGAAGATGGAGCTAAGATTCTATGTTAAGTGTTTTTTCTCACTGAAATAGCTTAACTTGCTTTCAAGGAGGTAAAGCTGAAAGAATTCTTGAAATGATATGCATCCCCTATGCAATTCAAAATACTGTCCACATGGACCAGTCTTTAGGTCTTGGTTAGAATTTCTGACCAAAGTTTAATTCAAATAGACTCCTCTACGCAAAAGAGGAGATCAGTACCCTTCCATTCCCCTCCTCCCTTCTTGGATAATGATGCCATAAACTGTGGCATATTCACTGTAGCCATAATCAGAAGTGAGCAGCAAATGCCCACTTATCTAAAATGTTCAGGGCATGAGATGTTGAGAGTTAGATAGCCCTTTCAGTGACATGAATTAACTGTAGCAAAGGTGCTTTTTTTCTTGCATGCAAATAGGCTTCTTCCAACCCCCTGCCTGCCTGAGAAGGTGTCCTCACTTTCTTGGTCTCTCATCTCACTTACCATGAACCGAAGGAAGGTAATTCCCCCATTAGAAGGGTCTGAGCCCAGACTTGTTCCTGAAGACTCCATGACCCAGGAGGCCATAGTTATTTCCACATGTCCCGTTGCTTTTCCACTCAGGTATTCAGCGACTTTGGTAAGGCTTTTTAAAGGGAAACTTCATCAGTTAGTTGCTAAATTAAGGCATCACAACTAATGATTCTGTAACTGTATTTAATCATGGTCCATCCATGGATTACCAATATTCAAAGAATTAGAATATAAAATACATAAATGAGTATAATGAGTATAAAATTGTGCTAAAATATTGTATTTCTTTGGTTATTCAAAAGATGTTCCAGATCTTTTATTGCTTTGGAGTTACCAAAAATAACATTAAACACCCACTCACACACACTTTCTTACACTTATCTAAGTAACAGATTCTGAAGTTACACAATTACCCTGCCCAACATAGTAGCCAGTAGCCACATGTGGTTACTGAGCACATGAACTGTGGCTAGTTTGTGGTAAGAAGAACTGTAATATAAATTACATTACTGAATTTCAAAGACTTAGTACAAAATGCATGTATATATATAAATCATTAAATTTTTAGGTATTGATTATATATCAAAATAACTATTTTAAACTTAATATTGATTACATATTTAAGTGATAATATCTTGGATGTATTAGGTTAAATAAAATATCTTAAAATTAAACATTTCATATAAAGCTTGTATTATATTTCTATTGGACAGCACTGCTCTAGAGAAACAACTTCCCTACATAAAAGAGCACTAACTTTTTAGCAGGTGTTTTCCCAGTACACATATAAATGAATAAGACTTCTAGTTTTCTTTTCAAGACCAAGTGTTGTATAGTTATTAGACCTTTAAGTCCTTTGTGCCTTTTTCTCTTATTGGAGAGAACAGTAGTCCATCACAAGTTAGTCATTATTCTCTTTCCGATTTCTTTCTGAGAATTATATTATTTTAGCCAACCTCTTGGTTTATATTGTATAACCTATTTGGAAGAGGTTAATCAGCAGTGCATCATTAGATTAATGATTACCTCACTCTCACTTCTGTTTGATTTGCAGGAATTATAGTTTAAAATTAAAAGGCAAACCTTATTGAAACTTCAAATATGTTAGCTTTTCTTTTTCATTTGCTATGCTCTAAATTGTAGTTTGTGAAGCTGAGATTGATATAGACTGGCCATTTTGAAAAATCATTTCTGAAAATAGGTTGTTATGCTAATTATGCAGAAAATCAAGAGAGAGCTTCATTAACAAACTGTCATGTTAAGAGATTCCCAAACTCCATTTCTGAAAGAATGATTTCCACCTAACATGAGAGATGAGATTTTCTAAATGCATTTTATTTTTTGCCTTAAGTGTAATTATCACTGAGTAATATTCCTAATGATTAAAAACAGTAAAAACTCCCTGTGGCAACAGTTGTGGGGCCAGATATGGTGACCCATAGACCCATAGTCCTTGCCTTGGTGGATTTACAAACTACAAATTAAGTTATTACTGGAAAGTATAGTAAGAATTTCTAAGCTAGTTAGTAGAATAAGGTAATGTCTCCCAGAGGAACTGATGATCAAATGGGGAACTGAATAAAAAGCAGGAGTTAGCTAGGTGAAGAGGTTATGGGAAAGGGTGCCAGACAGAGCAAACAGTGTGCATGGAGACCCTGAGGTCTTTGAGAGCACGGCATCTTTAACATAAAAAAAAAAAAGTGCATACAGTTGGACTCTGGAGTGTGAAGTGGATAGTAGGTTGGAGAGGAAAGCAGGGACTATTTTTTTGTACAACTTTGTAAACTCTCTTCAGTTTGGATGACTTTATCCTAAGGTGATTACAGCTAGAGCATGACATGAACAGATCTGTGTTTTAGACACTTCTAATTGCAGGGTAGTGAATGCTTTGGAGTAAATGGGTCAGTATCAATTATTAATAATGTCAATTCTCCCTAAATCCAAATAAAGTCAAAATTATCAATAATGTCAGTATCAGTGTCAGTATCAATAATGTCAATCTATAAATAATGCCAGCATTAATATATTAGTGTGTCAAGCAGAATTAGTATAGAATTATTAATAGTGTCAATATTAATTTCAATATCAATACTAAT